TCTTTGTTCTTTTGGTTTTTCTTATTGGTTAGAAACATTCGTCATATGCATATTTCTAAATAAATGATTAATGCATAATGTACATATCGCTGCTTCTGGTAAAATTAAAATGAACTATTAAAACTAATTACTAAAAAGTAAATACATGTATGTTAAGTTTTTCACTTTTTTATCCTTCATTTCTAGCATAAACCATTCCTTTTTAACGAACAATATCAACCTACACGTATTCGTTATACAAAGTATGTATCAGATGAACAGCTCAAGATACACAACTAAACGGGTATTACACATGTAAACCTTTGATGACTATTTTCATTGACTAGGGTTTTACAGACTTATATGTAACCCCGTTAGGTCACAATTATGACCAGCCCTAGGGCTGCACACGAACAGCTGTTTCTCAGTCACTTCCGTACGTCACTCAAACATGGATCTCTTTTGTAAAAGGTGGGTAAATTTTTATTAAAATAACTATGATGATTTAAACGTATATTTCCTTTATTTTCATGTGTTTTTTTTATAATAGTACTTTTGTCTTTTTAAACAATAATATAAATTGATGTCTTGTACACAAAAGATACTAAAATTTAAAAGATTCTGTAGGGGTATAAGTGTTTTTTATTTTAAATCACAAGTCAGGCCCGAAATAACAATCTGTGAAAGACACCCCCCCCCCCCCCAAAAAAAGACAAGCGCAAAAATACAAAACACCACCACCCCAAATAATAAATCGAAATTTGAAAGGAGGGAGTAGGGAGGATTGGATGTTTCTTAAAACCTTTGGTATTTTTTCGCCACAGTGATGTTAATTGTGATTGACCATACAACAAAAAAGCATATTATTGAAAATTCTCTTTTTAAATTAAATTATAAAACCAGTAGCATAAGACTTAACTAAGAAGAAAAGTTCGGAAGAGGGGAGTGGACCCCCCCCCCTCCTCCCTAAGCACTTCTGAGATCGACGGGACTGCATGTAAAAAGGGGATGGGATTAGGGGAATTGAAATAATTAATTAAATTACAAATACGAGTACTCTGTCTTCTTCTGCAATCAAATTACAATTAAAATTAAACTACGAAGTTTTCAATGCATGTAATTTATTGAATTGCAATTACTTCACGGAAGTAATTATTAAACTTACATATTCTATCTTGAAAATACTTATGATACTTGTGTGAAAAAATATTAACACAGTACATGCTAAAAATTTGTTCTTACTGTACATCAAAGCATACTAGTACATGTATAGAACCCCCATAATTTGGATATTGTATATTTATTGTATATTTAACTTTTGGGAATCATCTGGGATCAGTTTGCAGCTTTTAATTTTTGTGATTCCTTAACACAGGTATTCTGGCTTCAAGTACATGATTCTATATTAATTTTCTGACTTAAGAAATTCAATTAAAAGTGGGTTTCCAAGAGATTATTGATTTTAAACAAATCAAATTGCCGCAGTATTTCATTGTTTTTGGAAGTATGCTCAACACCTTAATAAAAATGCCGACAATTTTCACACATAAAATAAAACTTGTATGTTTATTATTTTACAATGTTTATAAATGCATATACAAGAATTATTTTTGATTATTTAATTATGTAATACATTGTATTACATAATTAAATTATCAAAAATAATTCTTGTATATGCATTTATAAACATTGTAAAATAACGAAAATGTTATTCATTGGAAAATAATTCACTCGACTTTTTTATTTGATAAATAAAATCCGTGTCGTATATAAAGTTTTCATTCGAATTGTCAACATGCATTGTCTATAAAGATATTCAATTTCATAGTTTCTCATAGAGTTTTAACATACATTTAATGTAAACTTAATTTTTTTTGTTTTTGCTCATCTTTTCCGATCTTTTTTATTGATATAAAACTCTGTACACAGCTAAGTAAATTGAAACATTTCACTAAAAATATCATTGCAAGCCAAGGTTTTGTGTCCATTCTATGGCTTTCGACGGTGCACCAAGACTCAAGAATTGCCTACAGTTAAACCTCGACGAACCAGACCAAGTGTCTGCAGATGGTTAAAAAACATGATAAATCGCAGTTGTTACACCATATTGTACCATAGTTACCGAATTATTCAAGTGTTTTCCACCTATTACAAGTGAATATTATATTTTTGACAGATGGATATTTGTACTGGTAGTGTACATCGCTCGGGTTGTTGTTTCGTTCCCCCAATTTCAGAGCCAGATTCCAAACGGACAGAACGTGCCCCATCCTTGTAATGACAAGGCGTGGTCAGCTGTGGGTCACGCTAACCCTAACGGGGGACATGAAAGAAATCCCTTCGGGAATGACTTTGCTGCGCTTGGAATGGTAAACAAAACCTCCTTAAACTATACAATTCAATAAAAGAAATTTATTTCCTAAATCATGCATGAATATTTTTTAATGTCGACAAAAATATGGATATTGAAATCAACAGGTATGCTATTTGTATTGTAGACATGGAATGAAGCACTTTGTAGAGCAGATTCTGATGGGGACGGGATGAGTAATGGAGAAGAACTGGGCGACCCAAACTGTACACGGAGCCAGGGTCAGCCATTTCCAAGCACCCCAGTTAGTCACCCAGGTAACTCATCGTTTGATTACTACCCGCTCTTCATGATTCATAATCATAGTTATTGTAACGTGAACACGTTTGTGGTTATGTTCTTTTCTGATTGGTTATGATTTTTGTAGGTGTGTGCGAGCCATTGGGTGACGAAAAATGTAAAGGCAAAAATGATTGGCTGAATTGCAAAAGGAGCGATTTTGAATGCGATACTTTAAATGATCCAGGTAAGAATGTGATATATTACACTAATTTTACCTTGCAACAAGATTCGAAAACAATAAAAATACAAGCATTATTTTGGGTTTTACGTGTGCTTCATAATAGTTGGAATTGTACAATTCCAAACTTCGGTTTGATTTTAAAAATAAAATTAGCATCGATATACAAACGATGACATTCTATTTCAGAAACACAATATTTTGACATAAAGTTTCCTCGGCGGAAAGTTCCTGCCAAGAAGACGACTTACACGTGTATGGTGGTAGAAGTACCGGAAGTGGGAGACCATCACATGGTCGCTAACACACCCCTCATAGACAATGATCACGTGATGCATCATATGTTACTGTATGGTTGTCAAGGTATACACCTCCTTAAACCCCGAAAAGTCGTGAACAAATAAATGTAAAGCATTACATATACCATAGCTCTTAACCCAAGGAGGAATTTCTCCTGAGGTATTAATATTAGTAAACTCAACTTTACAAGGTAATATCGTATCTATTGTGGACAGACAAACATGCTGAGCACAATCTCATTCAAATTTTTTTTCGGCCGAAGAATTGTAATTGAATGTTGAATGTTAAACAGCGTATGTCATAAATATCAACAGGTGATGCTGTTCCAAAATTGAACACGCCTTATGAATGTGGTATGGAGGCGTCCCTCGAGTGTAGGGAGTTGATCGGGTTATGGCAGGTGGGGTTACAGGGAGAATGCATGCACCGTGACGCGGGCTTCCGGTTTGGCAAGAACGGGTATCGACATATTGCTCTGCAGGTAATTTTTTCACGATATATTTTTAGCTTTTTGCAATAAAAAAAAACTGACATTGAACTTCTCTGAAACATTGAGAATATGAAATGTCTCATAATATGTAAAAGAAGTGTTTGGATCGTTTTCTAGATGCACTGGACCAACAAGCAGGAGCGATCTGACTACCGCGACGGATCAGGGATGAGAATTTTCTACACTACCTCCCTCCGTCAACATGATGCTGGAACTCTATGGGTAGGCCAGATGTTCTTAGAAATTCCTCCCCAGATGCCGGACGTAGCAGTGAGTGGAGTCTGTACCTCCGAGTGTACATCTAAAATCTTTGAAGACAATCTCAATGTTATTGGAGCATTCAACCACATGCATCTACTCGGTAGGAATGATGCAAAAATCAGTTTTTATCTTCTTATAGACTAGTGTATTGTTACTTTTATAAAAGTATAATTTACATGAATTGTTTTTATATGTAGGAAAAGGACAGAATGTAGAACACTTTAGAAACGGAAAACGTATAGGTGTCTTAACAAACGATACACATTACTCTTACAATAGCCCAGCACAGAAAAGGTCAGTACCTACTTTCAATATATTTACCGGTATAAATGGTATAAACGTTACCTTCAATTTCTCAGTTATTTTTTTTTACCTGTTTCTTTCCTTATTAGCAAAATTGAATTTCCTACTTGATATTTTCTATACGTATGATGCATATCTATTCTTTCTATAATCTTTGGTCATAAAACACATAAGTCAGAATAATAGTAAATTAAATGTTGTTTTCCTTTAGTTTTGACGTCCCTATTGTCGTAAAACCCGGAGATGAACTAAAAACTACTTGCACTTTTAACTCAGAAGGGGTACGAAAATATACTTTCTTTGGGAAAGGAACTCATGATGAAATGTGCTTTGCATTTATAAAATATTACCCGAAGCAGAAAGCAAAGATCCAGAAGTGCTTGTCATTCAGAGAACTGTCTATGTGTCCGATGTTTCCAGAAACGGCGGATCTCTTCGATGACGGAGTAAAAGGGTGTAACATTCCAAAGTTCACCTCACTCACCAATCCTGCCACACTGGCCATAGTATTTCAGGTAAGTCAGTTTTAAAGTCTGCCACGTCAATTTTGACATATTTTGAAATCTGTAACCTTTAGTTTAATCTCTTTATGGACCTTATATTCTTTTGACCGAAAATGGGGGAAATCTACACAGTAGTCAGTAGATTTTGATATCATTAAACATACATCATGTATTAATATTGTCTTAGAAAAAATTTCCTTGTTTGCTTCCAGATTTTGATATTTTCCTAATACATGACTAGATCTTTCATTAAAATAAACAGAATGAGATTTGACATAATCATATTTTCTGAATTTCTAGTTTAAAATTTGTTTATTTTTTCTGATGCAGATTCAGGCAAAGTGCAGGCCTGATATATGTACACAAGAATGTAAAGATACGATCAGAAAACTGAGACAACATCCATGTTTGAAGGAAGACATTTGGGAATATCTTAAATTCTTCTTAATGGCGGAAAAACGGGGTGACTCGGGGATAGACGTCGAAAAATTATTAGTGTTATATTCTGTGTGTGATCTGCAACTTGGAAGGGAAATGGGAAGGGACGTAATTGTGGGAACAACAACAATGCGCATGTCTCCAGAGGATCCCAAAGACAAACTAATGACAACAGTTAGTACCGGAAGCACGAAACCCCCCTCCTGTCCTCAATGTCCTCCCACACATCTGTCTATATGTAACAGGAGCTCTGCCTTAACCAATACATTTTCATTCGTAGCCATGATTTTAAGTACATGTATTATGATTGCTTTGGTCTAAAACAAGTCAAGCCAAAAGGATGAACTTGTTTAACTAGCTGTTTCCTTTGGGACAACAGAAATTGTTATTATTTATTTGTAAATAATATTTTTTACGTAATCATCCCCTACTGAAACGGATATCTTTACGTATAACCCCATTTTGAGGATTTCATTTGATCTCGGTGTTTAAAATGTTTTATCATTAGCTTTACTTCCTTTTTGTGTGTGTGTGATTGTATCATTGTTAAAAAAAGTGTGATGTTATTTATTCCTGCACAATAGACAGTTTGTCATGTAAATAAATATGTAAAAAAACTGAAGAAAACCCCATAAAAAATGTTCTTAATTTTGTCTATATGAAAAATTATTTGTGAACCTGCAAAATTATGAGTTCTATGCCTGTAGTTTGATATTGGTAGATTTTAAGCAGTGATTACATGGTGTGTTACTAAAAGAATTATGTACATATTTTCAATACACTTAATGTATACTTAACAGTATTGTGCAATAATTTTAATCAACTTTCAAATATTTCTTAATATAATACTAAGAAATAAAAATAAATAAGTAAAAATATGTTGCGTTGTTAAAGTATTTTTTTTTAGTTTACCCTTATCGTATCATTTGATAAATCTAATATATAATTAAATTAATTAAAGTTGTTGAGCCATTAGTCACACAGGAAAGTTTTTATATATTTCTTTCACTGTTTTGCCTGAGAATAAAATAGTACCTAGTAATTTTCAATAGACAGTACGTCAAATATTACCATGACTATATTGCAATTTATTAGTCCCCTACCGGTGAAACCGGGGGGGACTATAGGTTTCCTCTGCGTCCGTCCGTCCGTCTGTCTGTCCGTCCGTCTGTCTGTCCCCGTCAGTCTGTTCCACTTGGTTTTCCGCACTTTTTTTCTACACGCTTGCAGATATTGAGCTGAATTTTGGTATGTGAGTGTATCTTAATGAGTTACAGATCAAGTTTGAATTTCGCTTCGGTTCTTTGATTTTTGACAGAATTATGGCATTTTGAATATTTTTCATAATCGCTTAATTAAGATCGGGTTCGAACTGCGCTAACTTCAGATTGTCGACAAAAATATGAAGCGAGGAAAAGACGATGGAGAAATGAGTTGAATTTTCGTCTTAATGTTGATTATTTTATTAGTTTTAAGGCATTTACAACTTGAAAATCTTTCAGTTTTACCTTGGACATGACTTTTGCATATTATAAAATGACATCCTGAAGAAAAAGGGGAACCCGGTAGGGGACATGTATTGCTTATGCAATACTCTCAGAATGCTTGTTTACAGTGCAGCAATATCTTTCGCTAAAAGCGGAATTAATTAGCTTGCAATTAAAATAACTTCACTCTTTACTTAACCTTTCCCTGGATGCTTTCTGTTTACCCAAAATCAGTCTTTTGATTAAAAAAAAATTCAGCCAATGTAGCTGTTGTTTGATGAGAACTCAGCTCTTAGTGCCTTTATAGCTCAAAACGTTCATTCCTCAGTCAAACAAGCCATTCTTTCATATAGTCAAACTACTGGGATATCGATGATAAAAAAAAAAAAGAATCAGCAATGCGTAAGTTTTCTAAAAATCTTTAGACATTATTACTGGTTAATTGATGTATACTTACTTAAT